TCTCTCAGCCTGTCCCCATAGCAGAGGTGCTCCAGCCCTCTGAGAATCTTCATGGCCTCCTCTGGACTTGCTCCAACTGGTCTATACCCTTCTGATGTTGAGGGCTCCACAGGTGTTCCTCAGGTGTTCCCGAACCTGATCCTCGCTGACTATGTGTGGCTCTCCATTCTCCCAGACCCTGCTCTTGCCTTCTGTGACTTTGGGGGTGTGACTGGTGCCCTTGACAGTGAAAACCAATGCAAAAAAAGCATTGAATACCTCGGCCTTCTCCATACGTGGGAAACCAGCTCTCCAATAATAATACTACTACCAATAATAATTATAATATGTATTGAAAAGGGAAAAAGAAAAGAAAAAAACAACAATGGAAAAAAATTATACACCACGCACCACCTGCTGACCAACACTCGGCCAATCACCAAACATTAGTCATACCTTGCAACCAAAATCCCCCAAATTATATATTAAGCATAATACTTTATAGAATGAAATGTCGTTTTGGTCAGTTCGGGTCAGCTGTCCTGTCTGTGTGCCTTCCCAGCTTCTGCTCTACAAGAAGCTGTGAACGTAGGTACAATACAGGAAGCTGAAAAGGTCTTTAGTTTAATACAAACATTGCTTGGCAACAGCTAAAAACATAAGTGTGTTGTCAACATTCTTCTAATCAAAAATCCAAATTATAGCCTCATACTAGCCACTATGAAAAAACATAACACTCTCTCACGTAAAATCAGTATACATACAAAAATCATAACCCCCATAAATATTAGACTTATAATTTTGCTGCCTCTATGTTCCACAAAGCGCTCTATTGACGTAGGTGTCAATACTGAAATTTAGCTTGAATTTTGCTATCTTCGAACTTTCACACTATACGAAAAAATAACAGATAAATTTATGATGCCTATTCTAGTCAAGGTGGCCAGTCTGAATGGTCGTTTAACATGTTTTCCTAACTCCTTTCATTATTTTTCTTTAATTTTCTGAGCCCGATTATGTTAATTTAATTCTTCTTTAGACTGAAACAATGAGAACATTAATTTAATATTTAGTATTTGATCCAATATTTAGCATTTATATGTGACAGAAAATATTAACATTGGTAACTGAAGTCAACATTCCTGAGTTTTTGTCTTTGGTCTTGCAGTGAATATAATTATGCCTTCAGCAACAGTGCTGAGAGAATGCCTCAGGATCAGCACATATGTCGCTGTTTTTTCAATCTATTACTATATCATTTTAACATTTAAAGCAGTGCCTGGAGGTTACTATGGTTTTCAATCCATTAAATGCTATGAGCCTCATAATTAAGGATTTTCATTTGAATTTTGATGTTGGAAAGTATTCCTAGACACAACTGTACCTAAATAAATGCATGGATTTTCAGAAATTATCAGTGTTAGATTTCTTACAAAACTTACAATTCAAGATCACTTTGCATTTCTAAGAACTAAACTTACTGTTACAAATTATTTTGACTTATCCATAGTTTTGTGCATAAAACCACAGTTTATTTAGCAGTAGTAGTTGACCCTTCCAGTTTTTCAGCAATGCAGGAAAAGGGTATTTTCATACGACAGTAATTTTTCAGCTCTCAGAGGAAAACTGAGTTGAACACTTTAGTTATAATTAAGTCCTAAAGGTTAGTATGTTGGTTTTTAAATTCGTAAGAAGTGTGCACCAGTATGAAACTCTAAAAATTACTAAGAAACAATCAAATATTATAAGCTTTACATGTAATAGTAGATTTATTCATACTTAATTAAATATTTCCAATTAAATCTTTAATCATCAGTGTATTATAAATATGATGTTTTAAAAAATTGGGGGGAGAAAAGATCTAAATAAACCAACATCTGATGGCATAAATTTTGGCAGCATTTGACATTATTTTTCATTTCATACAAATTTAAATCAACTACATTTATCATAACTGAATGGTAAAGTATTTTAATCTTGCTGTAGATGTCACAATACTAAGCTCAGGAGTAGATGGTTCATGAGGGAATACTACAACTAGTCAGATCCAAAAATGTTTACATAGATTATACTTTTATGAAGGTGTATGTTTGTTGTTTTGATGTGAGCGCTTTTTTTTTTTCATCATACATGTTTATAACTGTACATCCTTATCTTTCTGAAAATAAATGGAATAATTAGTAAGAAAACATAAACACATGCTTATCACTGGAACTTCAAAGAGATTCCAATTTAAAAAACAAATCATGTGCAAGATTCATCTACATTATCTTCCTAATCAGACTGATATGAATGAAAATTTTCACATTTTCCTTAAAAATTATGGAATTACGACTTTAATAATGAGGTAGCATTATATCTCTGTATTCACAGTTTCCATGAAAAGCAGGAAAAACTGAACATGCACAGGCACCCACATACAGAAAACCTATTCTTTGGAAACACTGAATAAAAATGGAAACACTTAAAGTTGTACTGAAAAATGGTATTGTTATCTTGTTCACCCAAATCCATGTTCGTTTAATTTAGTATTTTTTAAAATTTCCATATAAATGTTTATACTTATATGTTCTAGATAAAATGAAATAATCTCATTACTTTGATGCCCTCAAAAAAAAAGTAAAATTATGCTCATAAAATAGAGCAGCAGTCCATTAAAACCATCAAATTCATTAAAATATTACTAATTATTTTGCATTAACATGTGACACATATTTACCATAATAAATGATGATAATATTGGGAGTAGCATCAAAAAATCTGAAATATTTAAGTGTGCCATATTATGTCAACAGGTAGTGGTAGGAAGGTATTTAAGGAATCACCATTCAGCTGGTCTAGCAGGAGGAAAAGAGAAAGGAGAAAAAACCTTGACAAGTTGGTGGTGCTCCATCCATCTGAAGCCTTTCACCTAGTCGACATGTCAGAATCTCATTACCAACCAATGTAAAGCCTGGTTGACACTGATATCTTATTATGTCTCCTGTTCGGAAAAGCAAAACAAGACAAAACACAGAAAAACAAAAGAAACATTAAAGAGCAATTACCTGGGACTTTTAGCTTTGAAAACATATTGATTAATGAAATTTCTTGCGAACATATATATAATGGGCTAAATGACCTCTGGCATAAACAACTTTGATTAGTCAAAAAAATGTGGTAGATGAGTATTGTCTTGCATACTATGCTGCATCTATCATTGTTTTCCAACACATGATTTGTTGGATAGTTTGCTAATTTGTCTGGGTTTGACTGATGTTGTGTGAACCATGTGTCCACAAAGCTTTAGGCAATATAATTTATTGGATAGCCATTATGGAACCAAATAAAGACGTAAGATTAAGTCAGTAACTCTTACAATTCGAAGGGAAAGAAATTAAGTAGGAACTGGATTTAGTAGATGATATCTAATTTTGGCATGGTGAGAATAAGAAATTGTCATATTTTAATTAAGAAATTAAAGATTCATATAGTTTTAGGTAACAGGAAAAATAAAAATCTGCAGACTGCAGCAGTTCTTTGTGCTCTATATTACAGAGCAGAAAAGAAAACGTTTTAAAAAAAGTATTTTCTATTTGTTACCAATATAATTAATTAAACATTGTGGGTTTGGGGTTTTTTTTTTCCTTTGCCATAATATGTGTTGAAGTAGCTCGTCAGACATCTGATATCTGATCATACTGATCATATAAGTCATATTTTACTGAATACTAGGTAAGTAATATTATTAACATGTCTTAGATGATCAGAATGTAATCACTTTCTCAGATCATCTAACTTTTACAAATTTGATTTTAGCTTTCAAGTCAGAGCACCTTAATTCTGGTACATTGTATACCATTGTCTAGATGTGCTCTTTTTTTATTGTTTCAGAATAAGAAAATGTTTTATAATAAACAATAAGGAAAATGTATTTTAAGATGAAGTTAATTAGAAAGAAGTTACTCTGTTATTTATATGTGATCTCTGATACATATACGGGATTCAGCAAGTATAGGAAAGAGTAATGACTTCTAAAAACTGTATTTTCAAATAAAAACCTAACATATTAAAGGCATGATCTGCATCCTGAAAAGCAAAAAATTTCTGTAATTTCTGTTCATAGCAATCCTTTTTTTTTAAAAATGAATGTTGCTCTTATTTTTTCTTATATTACCTATTTCAAATTCATCATCCTCCGTTAGCATTTCAGCATTTGGTATATTTGTTGGAGGCTGGCAGACCCGGAGCTGATAGGCTATAAACAGAAAGGAAGCACAGTTGACATCCCCATACTTAGACAGTTACTATAGTCATGGAAACATAACTGAGTTAATACCCACATTAACAGGATAAAAAGAAATATTTATTCATTTCTTTTGAAGCTTCCAAGAGGATCAAAAGAAAGGAAACATGGGTTTCAGAAGTAATGAAAAATTGTAAATTTAATGTGTGTTCTTAATTAGTTACTATTTTCAGCAGCATAGAAGTGCTTGCCAATTTTCTTACTTTAGTGATCTCATCTGAAAAAAAAAATATTTTTTGTATTGTGCAACTGCCATTTTGGTTTGGTTTTTTTTTTTTTACAACACATTTTTTCCTAGTGAACTCTTCCACGTTTGAAACTGTAATTAAGACAAGTTTTATAATCCAAAAAATTCTACCCAGAGCAGCATAACTGATAGATAGAAGCATTTAGGATGTGAAATTTTCCAGTAAAAGAACAGTTGTGGAGCACATCTAACCTCCAGGTAAGGTCAGAGAATAATTCTGCTTTCCAACTTCTCATTTGAAGTCTCACATGAAATAATTTTCTGACTTTTATTACATGTATGTAGCAGCCAGGCAAAATAATTAGGTTAAAAAAATTATTAAAAAGACAAGTAGTAAGAGTATGCAGAAGCTATATAACTTTTTTTTTTTTCCTAGGACAACCCATGAGCATAGACACAGAAAAATTCCCTTCAATCTGAATGCAGTCAGGACAAAAATCCAGCCAAAGCGATCACACTGCAATATTTATACTGACAGTGTAGTCTTCTGCATTGTAAGTCATATACTGAGGTTAATCAATGAGTAAAGTATGTTTGTTTTTCACTGACAATTTTTCATATAGCATTGTTTTATAGCATCTCTTGTTAGCAAGGAAACATCATCTATATATGGCAGATGATGATTCAAGTTGTTATACATGTCTTTGTGACTTTGTGAGCCTGGATTATTCAGTAATTTAATTGGTCAAACCTTTTTCATTCACAAAATTTATTTTTTATCCAGGTAAGACCTTTTGTTGCTACTGTGTCACCCATATTTGACATTGTTGTATTCCATTCAATTTTGCCCATCATATAATGAAGAGCCAATTAAATCGGTGAGTCAGAAAGCCAACATCCTGCCTTAGGATAAAGTAATTTAAAATAAAACACACCAAGCAATCATGGAACAGCTGTGCTATTTGCATTTAAAAAAAATAATAATAAAAAGTCACAAACATAATTAAAAAGTGGATTCAATAAACAATTCTCATATGTTTCTCATTTAGGGGTGTCATTCATTGCAATGTCTAAATTATTATTTTAAATATTTTTGACTTCTCTCACTGCCTTGCCTTTATTGCTATAAATTTTATGTAGCTGATATGAACGATCACAGACTCAAGGATACTGAAAGATTTATTTATCTTTATAAGATCAATCAAAGAAATGTTAACTTTCTACATGAATAATCTTTTGTGCTGGTCAGTCTGTATCTTTACTATACATTAGGTTCCACATTTCTGGAAAGAAAATCTCCACAGTAACAAAAGAAAGAAGTACAAGGAGATCAAGTCCTTTGGAGACATTTTATTACTAAATATGAGCATTTTTATTTGTTTGGTCATATACTGATTTATTCATATCTACCTATCAATATACATATACCAATATACATATCAATTCATACATTGATGAACACAAAGGGTTGGTTTGTCCTTCACAAACTGCTACATGTAATTTACATCCCCAGATACGGAATGAAAGTTCTGACCTGTCTCTGCCTAATCCTATTCAAGTATATACTCTGTAATCAATTCAAATGCTGTTGCTGTTCTTCTCTTTGTGGGATTTAGGTCTTTTTTCATTTGCCTTTTTCATTTTTTTGTTTGTTTTTGATTAGATTAAAGTTCCTTTAGTCCCCTCAGTTCTGTCTATCTGTATTCACCTTGGTATTTATTAAGCCAAAAAGTAAGCCTTCTAGTCCCAACATCTGACCAGGGTCCTGAAAACAGACTGTAGTCTGTTCATGTTTCCTGGAATGGTCAATCTAACAGGCATTCACAGAGCACCTAAAAACACTCTTGTTTCTGAGCCTATTTCCTTGCAATGATAGGAATGCAAGAGACAATTGGCCACAGAAGATATGAATGACTACAAAAAAAGGTAGAAGTTGATGCATCAATACTCATGCATTTTCATTCAGTGACTATTTAATTCAAGGGCAGCTTAATGTTAACTACACAGTATAGTTCATTATCATTGGCATCTCTAGAACATTTTCTTCGAAATATTAAAGTATCTATGAGAAATTTAATGACTGCCACAAACGTAGAGTTTATAAAGGAATTTTAGAAGCATTGTAAGCAGTGAGAAGATGAGCTTGACTACTGGTAAATTTATTATCTGATTAAGAAAACTGTTTTAATAATTCACTTTAGCAGTTCATATTACCCTAGTGGTGGTCAGTCATATTAATAACAGACACTCTTCTTAGAAAAAGTAGTGAAAATAATCTTCCTTCACGAGTTTTCTTCCTGTAGTAATCAGTAAAGACAGTGAAAAAGTGCAAGTTGTTATACTTACCATGGTAACTAAGTACAAAGAAGCCACTGGTAGTAAAATCACTGTGGAACTTGATCAGAATCTGATTGGAAGTGCTATAGACTGATTCTAATGCAGTGTTGCCACTAAATTGTCCAATTTGAGGAGAGGTTTGGTCTGGTCCATCCCTAAGAAAACAAATAATTTAATTTCTCCAATAGTATGAGTCATCTAGAATTAGATAAAACAGACATTAAGGGCTGAAAGTCTGTATGTTCATAACAGTATAGCAGGTAGTAGCTTAGAGGACCAACAACAGAAACATAAAATTAAGAATTAGTATTCCAAATTGCCTCTCATAATTTTGCACTACTCAAACTACAAGATTACTCTTTCAATTGATGGCTTTTCAATCTAAGATTCAATAACCAGTGAATTAATGTTTTAGGCAAGTTTCCAAAAGGTTTTAGCCCTTCTGAAATGAGCAGAAGACTCACTGGTAACAGTTTCAACATTACTACAGGAGTTGTTACACTTGGCTACAGCATCTTGCCTTTACCAACTTTGCAACTGAGAAAAATGAGGGCTTCGTTATCTGAAAAAATTCATTATAAACATGGATTTATGTACATGGAGAATGTAATTTGTTTACATCTATCATCAGCTCAACTCTTTTTGTCATAGCCAAACAGAAATTTAGTCTCTCCTTTTGTGTATTCTCAACAGTTTAAAATAAACTAACTTGGAAGAAATTAAGAAAGTATGGATTTAGTTTCTTGCATTAACACCCTAAGACATTGTAATACACACAGCTGAAATGGCTTATTATCACTCTTAAGTATTCTCTTGGTTGTTGATAAATTGTCATAGCATACTTCTGAATGCTTTTCTTCTTCAAGAAACTGAGGCACACTATTATTGCTTTTGAATTCTTAAAACAAGGACTATGAAACCTCATGTTCAGTGATAACTAGAGAGAATGGTACATTGGAAAACATGGATTAGTGCAAATTGCTCGTTTCCCCTGGACAGAACACCGATGTCAAGAGAGAAATCCCAAATATATACTTGTTAATTCCAACTTTTTTTTTGTGTAGGGTCACATAAAGATTAAATAAATGCAAAAAGTGTTTTCTTACCAGACAGTTATGAAATCATATATTGGCTCTGTTTGGAGAACTGTGAAATTTATGTAGATTCCATTTCCAGGTGGTACTCTAACAAGCCAGAAGCAGTCTTGAAAGTTTGGATACTCATCAGGATATCCTGGAGAGTATATGGTGCCATTCATTGCAGTTATGTTTCCTCCACAAAGAGCTATTAAAAAGACATTTGTTTTTAAAAAAAAATATTAGATACTTCTTGCATTCTTCTTAGACCATGTGAAAGTTATACTTTTAAACACATCTGGTACACTATAATTAAGTTATGAAAAACCATTGCTGTGCATAGAGAATAGATTTCACTGAGATATTTGAAAAGAGCCAGAAGACTGTTCTGACATTATTGCTCAAATCTAAAAGACAAAAAAAATTTGATGTCATAAATACTATCAGAACAAGAACTAACATAATATTTAGACATTAGGTTAATTTATTCCCTGTACAATTTAAAACCACTTCTGTGAAAATGCCAGCTATAAAACAGCAGAGAAACACATTAATTGCTTTCATTTCTTGTTGTAAGATTTAGCCAACCAAAATAATCAGGTGAGAGAAGATATATTCTAAGTTGATGGAGGATGGACGGGGGAAAATTTGAGGGGAATGTGAAAATGAAAATACCGTGTGCAACAGTATGAATATCAATTCTGCATTTCCTGAGATAAATTCTCATAGATAAATTAAGAGTTCTTTCTGCAATTCTTAATGAAGTGCACTAATTTTAGACATCAAACAGTACCAGGCTGGCCATATAGCTTTTGGACTCTCATAACTATGCTTTTCAGGAAAACTATTATTTCAAATTATATTATTTTCTCCACAGAAGTTTCAGATACATGCTGAATATGACACCACCTTGTTAATAAAGAAGTTATGTTATAGAAGCGTGGTTCTGCAAGAGTCAGCAAAACCTAAAATCATATAATTTGCTTTATTTTGCACACATTCCTCCCCACTCCACCCCAAACAGGCATTGAATAGCAATTCTCCAATCCCGATTCTCTAAAATATACTTCTAACTAGAGAACTGGTTGTTGGAAATACAGGTTTGACATTGTGCTGGATGTGGTTGGGGAAGTTAATTCTCTTCACAACAGCTAATATGAGGCGATGTTTTGGATTTGAGCTGAGAAAAATGTCAACACACCGATGTTTTCAGTTGTTGCCAAGCAATGTTTATATTAATTTAAGGACTTTTTCAGTTTCTCCCATTGCACCTGTGTTCCCTACAAGAAGGTGGGAGGGGACACAGCCAGGACAGCTGACCCAAACTGACCAAAAGTACATTTAATTCTATAAAATATCTTGCTTAATATATAATTGGGGGGAGTTGCCCAGGTGGGTGCTGGAGTACTGGGTGTTCAGAGCACTCTGACTGTCACAGGCTCTCTCTCTGGATCTTGCTCTTTCAGTATGGCGACTGTTTGGACATCAGTCGGTGGGTGGTGATCAGCTGTATCATTTGGATTTTTTTCTACTTGCTGTTTTCCTTTCATTACTTAATATTATAATTATTATTGGTAGTGTTTTAATTATAATAGTTATTATTTTCATTACATAGTAGTAGTATTAGTATTAGTAGCATCATTATTATATTTTATTTAATTTATTTTTTATTATTAAAATGTTCTTATAAGAACCCAAGAGTTCTCTTATCTTCTTCCTCTGATTCTCTACCCCATTTCCACTGTGGAAGGGGGAGGTGAGCTAGAGGCTGTGTGGTGTTTGATTGCTGCCTGAGCTAAATCATGACAGATATATAAGAATTATGCATTGTTTTTATTTAGGTAAAGCATGTGTTAAAGTTTATATATATACTTGGGTGCTGAACTTTAGGGTAAGGAGACTTTCATAGTCACACCACATCCATTCAGACTCAACAGCTGGTATACCAATCTTCTTCAGCTTTTAGCTTTACAGTCTCAAGGGTTTTGGAGAAGTGCAGACAGAACTGATTTTGCATCAGGGTCTTAAGGGAGTGAAGACATGGGCTGATGACCGTCATAAGATTTCTTGGAAAAGGAGGGGAAACAGATTCCAAAAAGCTTGAAGTGAAGGAAATTAATTAAGAAGGGTCACAGAGTGTTAAATGGTGCTGAGCACAGATCAGAGGGATTTTACGTGTGTGAGGAGGCAAGAAGAGAACAAAAAAGAAAACATGTAGTGATATTTGATTTAGAATATCTACTTCAAGTTCAACACATTAAACAAGCCTTAGTATATGTTGCCTTACAATAAAGAAATGAATGTAAAAAATGTGAATTTCTGGCACTAATTATACACACAAAAAAGGCCACTTCATTTTAATGCTTTTGAAAAAAAGACCTTTATCACAAATCAAACCAAATACAACTAGAAGATATCTAATTATCTTTTTTCTTCAAAGATAAAGAAAAAAAACCCCAAACTCCAAAACTTCAGTAGCATATAAAAATATCCAAAAAACTTTTATTAAAAATACAAAATAAAAACATAGAAAACCCTATGTAATTTAAGAAATTTCTCTGGGAGCTGAGTAATGTTGGCAGTCTGTAATCATGCAGCACAGTACACATTAAATCTGCATTATCAATTAGGATGATTTTTTATCTGCATCTGTTCATATCACTTTAAATAGAAGCAAAGAAATTCCAGCTGATATTCAGGAACTTCATCAAAAGTGATACTCAGAATAGAAACATGGTTTAGGAACCTCAGAATTTAATAAATAAGTTCCTGGTTGCAGTAAGGTAATGTAAAGAAACAGAATCACTCCATTCAGTATTTTTCTTGATTCTGAGGCACAGTAGGTACAGCTAGAACTAAACGACAGGGAAAAGCTAAGCTGTTTAGCAGTTAAAACATGAACTATTACTGTTCCTTCAGGATCCAAAAAATCAGGACCGCAACTGATTTGATGATGCAATGGATTTGCTTCTTCCCCTTTCAAAAGACAGGCAGTATAGGTGTCATTCTCTCTTCTTACATGAAAAGGCTTCTTCTGAATTCAGTATCAGATAATTCTTAATTCAGCTAACACGCCCCTCAGAAATGCCTGTGGCTTACTGATTCCAGAAAGAATTTTCAGTAACGAGCCTTCTATTTTAAGTACCTTCATTTAGGTACATGATTCAGTATACAATGCAAAAATCCAGAAAAGCAGTAGACTTTTTTTTTCTTTCATTTAGGCATTCCTTTTCAACTTGCTCAGTATGGAGGATCCCATTCTTAATGCTGAGCTTTTACCACACAACACAGATGAAAGTTAGGCCTTTAACTGAGGTCCTGAATAACCTTTCTGAAACTGTGGAGGGTCTTTATGGCATATGAAAGAGGGCATTCAATACCTTGTCCATATTTTTCCAAGAATCTAACACTGATGTCTGAATGTTGCCACAATTGTGACACACCTGGGTCTTCAGAATAAAGTAATTATTTTGTATGGAAGAAAATGCAGTCCTCCATTCCACAAACAGATTCTGTGTTGCACAGGTATTTCTCAAAGAGATTTCTGTGTTACCAAAACACCCAACCTTGTCTGTTTCCGAGTCTCATGACACTAGATGACTGACCTTCTTTGACCTTCTTAGGTGCAGGTTCCTTTCAGCACAGCTGGGGATGAGATAAATAACTCTACAGAATTATCATATACACTAATTCTGTCTCCTTAGAAGTTGAGCTATGTGCAAGCCACAGTTCCTTGAATCTGCTCAACTGTTGCAAGCACATCCGTATTAAAAAAATTGTAAAAAGTTAAATTTAAATATAATTAAAAAAAAATCCCATTCACAAATATTTTATGTACAAAGGACTTCACACAGCACTGACTGGATGTCATCTGCATTTTGTGCCACCTTTGACAGACATACACAGAAGTGTCCAGAGTTGCTAAATTCTATTTTTGAATCCTATTTTTTCTTGATTCATTGAGAAGTTTTTACTCTGTATCACCACCTAGATTAGAAAGCAGCATGGGTCTCCACATTACAGATTTTAAGCCTAACCTTCCAAAAATAAACAATTATCTCAGATAAAATTTCAGAGTTTTCATATTCCATGAAACATTTCAGCTTACCTGCAAAAAATTTCATGTGCAAAATTGAATACTTCCTCTGCAAAGACAACTATATAAAAATACAGGTCTCTTGAAATTGAAAAACTGAAATTATTTCAGGCAACGGTAAAAAGGAAGACAGAAATAATGAAGAACCCAGAACATACCTTCACATCTGGGGAGAGGATGATTCCAGTTACGGCTGATTCCATGAAGACAAGTCAGAGCTGAATTTCCAATTAATGTGTAGCCAGGAAAACACTCAAATGAAATAGTTTGTCCCACAGTGAAGTCATTCCCAACAACAAAACCATTACGAAATGGTCGAGGGTCAGGACAGCTTTGTAGCTGATACGCTGAAATAAATAAATAAATAATAATAATGGAGAAAACCAAGTAAAATCCAAATTCTTATAACTTAAAAAAATACAGCTTTTTATTAGAATAAAACTAAAAAGCTACAGACATCCCACATGTCTAAGGTTCTGTCATGGTGATAATAGAAAACATTGGTCCTATACCAGCAGAAGCACAGTGAAACATTCCCACAGCAATTCTGGACGTATGCATAAGAATTAATTTCCAATTCCAAACCTAATATGGAAAACATAATGCTACAACCATACTTAAAATGACGTAATGTTCTTTACACTTTGATAATGTGTAAACAAAATGTGCACTAGAAAAAAGAGAGTAGGGAGGGATTTATACTGTGTTTTCTCCACTTAGTTCTTTAAAAAGATAGGCCACTGTTTATTTAAGACTATGAATTGCTTCCAAGGGCACCCTGTGCTGGGTTCAGCCAGGAA